GGACCTTATTTACAGTTCAAACAAACCTTTTTTCTTGTACGACCAAGGAAGAGAGAAAGACCAACAAGATGATGAACAGCAGACATTTGCGCATTTCTTGCCTTCAATAGCATTGCACCAGCAGATCCGATTATAGGCTTAAGTGATTGCATTTTCTTCTGGGAATACTGGGATGACACTGCAATTGCCCTTAGAACCTTGTACAGAATAGGTGCCTCCCTTTTCCACTCTTTCATTAGATTAGACCATTTAAATTTCTTCAGATCTTCTAGAGAACTGCATTTTAATACTGACGTTTTTCTCCTTGTAATTTTTTTGCATTCCTTGTCCAACTCCAAGCAAGAGCGGTTGATCAGTACCTTGCGCAACTGTTTGGATTTAAAAGCTGCCAAAGCAAAAGCTGATGTGGTCTTAGCCTTGTAAAGAGCAATCCCCAAGCTTTGCAAATTTGTTAGCAGTTCCTTTGAAATGGTTTTTTGGGAGTAATGAACAATAATCTGAATGTGAAAGATGGGTAAGGTTATTAAATACATTATTTATGGAAACATTCAAAAAGGAAATTAACCATAAATCTTATTGGAAATGTACATGTCTGTAGGCAGGGCTGGCATTAAGTTTTTATCAGTTTTTCAAGGCTGCATTTTGATTCTGGGGCGTGTCTGCATTTGTATTAGCTATTTCTCTCATTTTCCAATGAAAACACAGATTATTTTATTGTAGTGGCAACTGTTTTATATCTGGCTATTTATTGAGGTACTATAATGACACACTTTGTAAAATGTCAGCTTAGTACAGGGTCATCTACCCACATCTAATAAACAAAAGTTTCCACGCTTAGCTTTTCTTTTTGTTCAACATAGGTTATATCGCATCTGTGCATACCTCGACAGATGTTCCTTTAGTAGAAACTTGGAAACAGCAACAATTCGATTTTCTTGTTTGGGTACTCTGCTCCCGGGAAATTTTTACCGATGCCTCTTTGTTGGTATCCGACACTACCAAGGATGGTGGCTTTGGCCTTATTGGCAAATTTTCGAATGCGATTCGAAAGCTCTTCTTTTTGTTGAAATTGGAGGCCGTTTGCTTGTCCTCTTTACTCGATGTTAGTGGAGAAAGGGGATGTGTCCTCTTCAGAGATGCTTCGGCAGGGATGAAAGCCGGAAACTTAAGCTTATAATTCCGTTTCCATGAAGTTTCAATTCTATAGTGACAAGAGTCGCAAACTGCACGAGGAAGACCATCGTCTGGTAGAACCTTTTGATTGAAAACTTCTTCAAATATTTTCAAAAACTCGCTATTAAGATTTCTTTTTCTCTTAATTTTGATGAAAACGAAAGAGCATACTCGACAACGGTCTGAAAAATTTTCACTCGGATTATTCATTATCGTAAATAATCCTGAACCTGACCTACCCAACTAGCCAAAGGAGATATTTTAGCGCGCACAGAAAGCTACGTAAGCGTGAGATCTAGAGCCAGTTGCTCGACATACCTGCGTGGCCCGTGCGACGAAATAACTT